CAAATAAATTTCATCATACACCCCGAAAATAGATTCATATTACTGCACACCACTGCAAATGACCTAATCTGAGGAAAAAAATAGCAATCGAATACATTCTGTCATTCCATTGAGAAACTAAAGCGTTTGTTTCAATTAATTTACACAAGGGTGTATAACATAAAGTTCCATTTAGCAAATGATATTAAATTGACATTTAAAATGTTTAAAAACTCTTTCTTTTTTTTCTCCCTGAATGCATAATCCAGAATGGAATTTTTTTCCGTTTTTTTTTGCGAAAAAGAAAAGTCACTAACTACGGAACATTTTGAATATATGATGGAAAATTCTATTTAGCAAATCAAAAATGGAACCAACTGCACAATGACCCCAAACCAAACCCAGTAAGTGATTAAATATGACAAGATTTAAAACAAGCATTTAAAATAGTTACACTAATTACATTGTTCGGACTGTTGTCCTCATTGTCATATTCACGAAGTTTCGGCCGTTAAACGCTCCAGCCTTCTTCAGGTGATATACATTGGAACTCCGAAGCGAACCCTTTATTACGTCCACTGAGATAGATTGTTCTAGTTCCATATGGCATGCCTTTTCTGGATATCTCAGTTTCAATCTACCAGCGTGGACTAAATAAAGGGTTCGATCGAAATTCCTGAAGAATGCCGGTGCGTACAACGACTGAAACATCGTGAATGTTGCAATAAAGATGAGGACAACAGTCCAAAGAATGTCAATAGTTTAATTAGTTACCTCATCCCAAAACTAGAGACAGACATTTAAAATGTTTGAAAATTCTTTTTATTTTAGTCACTAAAACCAAACAGCGTCTCTGGTGTGTCTTTTCCGTATTTCCTTGTAATCATAAAGGTAATATTCTATTATTTATGAGGTATTGACATGGTTTAACGTATGTACTAATTAAATACATGAATAAGGAACAAAGAAAATTCTACTTTTATGTGCTGTGTCCCCTCAGTAATTAGGTGATCATGGCTCTCCTCAACTTCCTGTTCCTTGTAGATACAGTTTTACAGTTTTACTTTTCTCCTAAACCTTGTTCCGCCATCCATTTACTGAAGCTCACCATGTCATACCCTATTTTCCTTTGACCCTCTTGCCTTCAATCTGTCCTGTGCGTATCAGATTTTCCGAACCCTCTTTCCTCATTATGGTTCCTAGAAACCTCAACTATCTCTTCCTGGTGTTAATTATGTTTCCTTTTTGTTTTCATTTTCCCTAAAACTTGATCATTGCTCACATGGTATCCTCAGCATCTTTCTGTAGAACCACATTTCTATGGCTTCAAGTCTTTTCTTCATATTTGAGATTGTCCAGCATAACAGTTCAGTACTCTTTTCTTTGTTTCCGACGAACTTTTTCAGTCTCTTAATACCCTGCTTAGCTTTTGGGAGGCATCTTTGGCCATCCTTCGTTTGTCAGTGTCACACTTTCTGCCCTCTCTTAGAACACTTTCCGGATGTATAAATTTTTCTGCTTGGTTGATTTTGGAACCTCCGAGTTGCAATTGACAATTTCGGCTCTCCTTTTTGCTAAAAACAATGCATTCTGTCTTCTTGCAGTTGATGCTAAGTCCTTTCTTCTCGCTCTCTTTTACGACCTTCTGTAGGAGTTTTTCTAGTCTCCTTTCTATGTCTTTTATCAACACTATATCATCTGCATATCTTATGTCAACGAATTTCTGATTCTCTCACAAGCGCTTCACTGTTATGTTTGATTAAGTCCGGTGAGAAGACACCTCCTTGTCTTATACCCCTTCTTCTAGTTTTGAATATTTACTGAATTCATTTCCTATCCGTATGCCGAGAGTTTACTGTCAGTATAGGTTCTGGGTTATTCTAATATCCTCCCCAAATATTTCAAAGCTATCGTGGAGTTTCAACCGATCGCTTTTGCATAATATATCAAAAAATAAAGTTTTTTTTTTTTTTTTTTCCAGGTTTTCAGAAAAAAAGTTTAGCCATCTTGACTCCATTAAAAATTAAGAACCACTAAAAATCCCTTTGAGTTATTCAGCTTGAATCAGAACAGGTTAAAATCATTTTGTGTCAGAACCACTATGTCTTCCCAACTGAGCAATGGTGAGAGGAAAAAGATCATTCAGGACTTCAGTAATGGTACCAACATTACGACTCTGGCTTCCATCTTCAAAGTCCATTCAAGAACAATCAAGAGAACAGTGAATAAGTTTTAAAAAGAGGGAACAATGGAGAGGAAAACTGGATCGGGAAGTCACAACAATGAAGAGGAATTTCAACTAGATCAATTAGAAAAGATCCAACTCAGTTCTTAAGTCGCTTGTCATGTGAGAGAGGAGTTTCAACAATGACACTTCAAAGAGCATGTTATCTAGCGTAATCAACAATTTGAGAAAGGCTCATGACACCAACCGACTCAACTTCTCGAGAGCACCTCTCTGCGGCTGCTTTGTCTCACATTGACTGCTGACCTGAGATGGAACAAATACATTGAGTCAATTGCTTTGTCCACCGCAAGGAAAGTTGGCTCCTTGTGCCGCGCCAGGAAATTTTTCTCCCCGGAATCGATCCTTCAAATCTACAAATCAACCATTCGCCCTTGCATGGAGTATTGCTGCCATATATGGTCTGGAGCCCCTTCTGTTTGCCTCGGGGTTCTTGATAAAATCCAGAGACGGATATGCAATATAATCGGCCCTGATCTGGCATCTCGTCTGCAGTCGCTCTTACACAGACGCGCCGTCGCCTCTCTCTGTCTTTTTTTTACAAATACTTTCATGGTAATTGCTCCGATGAGCTGCTTGCACTGGTTCCAAACTTTCATTAAATTCAAGCGTCCTACGAGGCTGGCATCCCGCCCTCACCCTTTTACTGTCGAAACTGTTAAATGTAGTCGTCTCTTCTACTCCAATAGCTTCATATCTCGCATCCCTCGCCTGCGGAACTCCCTTCCCTTTTCCTATTTCCCTGATAGCTATAATCTACAACTATTCAAATGTAATGTCAATCGACATCTCCGGTTGCCTTGATCTATCCCGTATTCCTTCTCCTCATCCGTTTCTCTATCACTCCTATCTGCTCTCGCTCCAAATCCTCTGCGTGCCAGTGGCTTCCAGCCTTGCTTAAAAAAAAAGTTATAGCATAACAAACTTACAAATAAACAAGACCATGTCCTAGAAGGTGTCAGGGAGTTCTAGACGACCCAAGGAATTTCTTGAAGGCTCTAGAAAGTCATAGTATTATTATATTTATAGACGATTTTAGAAATTTAGTGTTGTTGGTGGCATTTTAAAAAAATAAACTAAATTAAGTCATTTCTCATTATTTTAGACTAAAAGTTCATCGAATTATAATACAGGAAAATCAATTATTTCATAAAATGTCAAAAAAACTCATAAAAAACCTGTCGAAGAAAATTCCAGTAAACCCATCTCTATCAGATACAAATTTGATCGGGAGATTGAAGCTTTTTAGGAGCAGGGAACAACAAGTTAATTGCTGTTGTTCCTAGGTGTTATACCGGAACATACCTATTCTATTGTTAATAGACTCTCCCACAGATAATAAGTAGTAGTAGTAGTAGCAGTCGCCAGGGTGATCAGTGAATTGGTCCGAGTTCAGTCTGAAGTCGGACGACCGGCTGAAGGGTTGAACTCTCTGCCTTCGGGCGGGGAGGAATCCGAACGAGGCTACACCGAAGGGCGGAGTCTCTTTCGGGGAGGTAAACCGACCCTGAACCCGTTCATACGGGTTCAAAGGGCATATTTTTGGCCAAGACCACGGGCTCGGAGATCCCACGTTAAACCGGCTTTGTGCCACATGATGCCCATGTAGGGGTGGGTGACTGAATATCGCTCAGTGGAGTTGAGTGAGTCAGTCGATGTCGGACATTGAAGTATCACCCACCACAACTAGATTCCTGCGTCATTAACTATTATTTTCAAGTTCCTAACCTTTTTTTACGTCGGAACCTAATTTAGGACCGACTTAGTGAAATACAAGCCTCCACTGTGAAAACTACTCTACAACACATTGGCGACGAGGGATTCGTTTCTCATACGGGAAAAGAAAAATTTTTTCGTTCACTCTATAACACTAGGTCCACTCTGAAGCGAGGTGGTAGCACCAGTTATGGTCCTAGCTATGGGCAAATAGTTACCCCTCCAGACAAAAATCAAAATACAAGGAAATTATTTCTTATCGCTTTCATTCAGTGCCTTTTGTGGGAGTTTTTGTAGTTTTCTTTCTGTGTCTGATATCAACACTATGTCATCTGCATATGTTAAGCTGTTAAGATTTTAGCCGCTAGTAATGAATCCTGGCAGGACTCCTAGTTCTCACAGAATTGTCTTGAATATGTCCGGCGAGAAAACACATCCATGTCTTCTCGTTTCTATTTTTGTATGGCAGAATGTTAACCATTACAAGACAACTTGTAGAAGGCATAAATTATAAAAATAATGGCTACCTTTTCACATCACCTCTTTCATTAGTTTTTTTTTTTTTTTTGCAAAATGGTAATCGTAATAATGATTTCTTGTTAATTTTAAGAATATCATTTTTTGCCCCCGTCATTTGAAAATATTTCGCCTCGTTCTGACAGGCGCTCCGGGAATGCGCGTTGACTGGACAAAATCACACACACACACACACAAAAAAAAAACTCTTAACTTGACTTGAAAACTGACTCCATTTTGACACCTCGGACGCCATTTTTGTTTTTTAATTTCTTCTCAATTCTTTTTTTTCGGTTTCTTTATTTCTCTTTTCAAATATTGAAGAACTGCAACAAAATTAATTTCTCGATGAAAATTCCTTTTACTTGTCTTCTTCCAACCCTCTTCCAACAGATTTCAAAATATCTCCTGACTGTTCTTTTGCGCGTCTCTTCGCCATTTTGTTTATTTTTAGAGCGGGAAAGATTGGCTTGATAATGAGAATATCATTATCATCTACATTGATCATTAATTTTATCGATTTCAGTTTTACTATGTGTACGGGCTTGCGGCCATATCACGTTGAAACATTGTTTCCCGTGCGATCACCGAAATTAAGCAACGCAGAGCCTGGTCACCATCTACATGGGTGACCACTTAGAAATACCTGGTGCTGTCTGCTTGCATGTGCGGTTGGAGTAATGGGCTTACGGTAACATCACGTTGAAACATTGGTTCCATTACCATCAACGAAGTTAAGCAACGTCGAACCTGGTCAGTACCTACATGGGTGACCAATCTGAACTACCGGGTTTTGTAAAATGCTTACGGTCATATCCCATTGTAACACTAGTTCCCGTATTATCAACGAAGTTAAGCAACGTTGAACCTGGTCAGTACCTAGATGGGTGACCAATATGGACTACCAAGTTTTGTAAAAGACTTACGGTCATATCCCGTTGTAACACTGGTTCTCGTCCTATCAACGAAGTTAAGCAACGTTGAGCCTGGTCAGTACCTAAATGGGTGACCAGCCCGGAATACCGGGTGTTGTAAAGGACTTATGGTCATATCCCGTTGTAACATTGGTTCTCGTACTATCAACGAAGTTAAGCAACCTCGAAACTGGTCAGTACCTAGATGGGTGACCAATCTGGATTACTGGGTGTTGTAAAAACTTACAGTCAAATCCCGTTGTAACACCGATTCTCGTACGATGAACACGGTTAAGCAACGTCGAACCTGGTCAATACCTAGATGGGTGACCAATTTGGACTACAGAGTGTTGTAAAAGTCTTACAGCCATATCTCGTTGGTTTTCGTATTATCAATGAAGTTAAGCAACGTCGAGTCTTGTCAGTAACTAGATGAGTGGCCGCTTTGTAAACTCCAGGTGTTTCTAGCATGGATGTACAGGTGGAGTAATGAATTTATGGCCATACCACGTTGAAACAACCATTCTCACACGATCACCAAAGTTAAGCAACGTCGAACTGAGTCAGTACCAAAATGGGTGACCGCTTGCGAATATCAGGTGCTGTCAGCTTGAATGTGCGGTTGGAGTAATGGGCTTACGGCCACATCCCGCTGTAACACTTGTTCTCGTACTATCAACGAAGTTAAGCAACGTCAAGTCTGGTCAGTACCTAGATGGGTGACCAATCTGGAATACCGGACGTTGTAAAAGACTTACGGCATATCCCGTTTTCTAACACTGGTTCTCGTATTATCAACGAAGTTAAGCAACATCTAGCCTGGTCAGTACGTATATGGTGCCCAATCTTGAATACCAGGTGTTGTAAGCTTGGATATACGGGTGGTGGAATGATGGGTTTACGGCCAGATCATGTTCAAACATAACTTCCCGTACAATTCTTGAAGTTAAGCAATGTCGAGCTTGATCACTACTTAGATGGGTGACCGCTTGGCAATATCAGGTACTGTAAGCTTGGATGTACAGATGGAGTAATGTATTATTAATTAATATTTTAATTGATGCATTATGTCATATTACTGTTAAATTAACAAAGTAAATATTTCTTAATATGTCCGCATCAAGCCATTATCTCTTTCTTCTTATTTAATGTCGATATTAAATTATTAAATAAGAACAATGAGATAATGGGTCGATGTCGACATATTAACAAATATTTACTTTAATAATAATATTCTCGTACTATCAACCAGGTTAAGCAACGTCGAACCTGGCCAGTACCTAAATGGGTGACTGTGTGCTGTAAAAAATTTGCGGTCATATCCCATTGTAACACCGGTTCTCGTAGTATCAACGAGGTTAAGCAACGTCAAGCCTGATCAGTACCTAGATGGGTGACCAATCTGGATTATTGTATGCTGTAAAAGACTTACGGTCATATTTCGTTGTAACAACTGTTCTTGTACTATCAACGAAGTTAAGCAACGTCGAACCTAGTCAATACCTAGATGGAATTACCATGTTCAAAAAAAAATATATATTGTTGGACTTATAACATTCTATTTTTTTTTTTTATATATTTTATTTATATATATATATATATATATATATATATATATATATATATATATATATATATATATATGTAAATGATAGTGATCATAATCTTTCATATTTTATATTAAATTGAAGGGCATATTATTAATTTTCCAGGATAATTTTTTAGTTCTTTTTTTGGTTTTTGTTAATTATTTTTTTTTATATTGCTTTTATTTTTGCTCTTCTTAATCGCCTCGTTTTATTTGGTTCGAATTTTTGAAGCAAAGCTTATTCTCAATTCGCTTTCGTCAAATGAATTTTTTTTATTATCTGCTGTTTTTTTTTTAAATTGTTCATAGACGAACATTCTGTCCTGACCCAAGTAAAAAAAAATGTTTTACATTAAAATTCAAAAATTTCTGTTCATCTAGAATTTTTTTCAAATACAGTTTGACGTTCAAACTCTTAATAAATTTGACATCGCTCCCTAATTACCTCCCTTGAGTCATTTTTATGATTGATTTTCGTTTCGTAGCTGACCTTAGCTTAATTATAATTTTTAATTGTCAGCCGTCAACGCGTGGGCGTTGTC